CGCTGTCAGAGCACCTGGGGTCCAGGAAAGCAGACGGGGACCGGCCACGTCCGTCACGTTACCTTGGGCAGGAGCGTGCTGCTTCCGGGGGTCGTACTCCCCGCCGGACGCCTGGCCGACGGGCTGCGGGGAGAGGCGGGTGGTGAGCCCCGATGCGCTCCCCATCCCTTCCCGCTCCCCGCACCCTGGGCTGTTAGAGATGCCGGGGAGACATGTGCCACGGCTCTCATGGTGGAATAACCCTGAGCAAAGAGCCCACGGCCTGGTTGGGGTCCCTGCATCTCCCTTGTAATGTGGAGCCTCCCCATGAGGACGTGCCCAGAGCCTTACCAGCGTGGCCCCCAAGTGATTGGGGGTCTGAGCAGCCCCTTCCCGTAGCCGCATGTCCACGACCCCCCCGATGGGAGGCTCCTTGCCGGGGAAGTCGTTGTAGTACTGGTGATCAGGGGCCGGTTCCTCCTCTTCCTCATCCCAGGCAGAGCCATCAAACCCCGCCATCCTGGGAGGACACGGCACAGATGAGCAGCTGACAGCAGCCAGGGCTGCATCCCCTCTCCAAAACCAAGCTCAGACACCCTCCCACCTTCCTCCTTCCCACACAGCCCTGCTCTTACCTGTCGTGAGGTGTCACCAGCTTCGGGGGGTTCTTCAGGTACTGCTTGAACCGCAGCTCGAAGGCCTGCCCGATGGTGCTGATCACATCCTGCGCCAAGCCCTCGGGGCATTCCAGGATATGGCAGGCTGGGGAGGGAATGGTGGGACGGGAGTGTGGAACCCCAGCATTGAGTTCTCCACCCCTTAAGCCTGCCCCTCTGCACCCCAGAGCTTCCTTACGGGGGACCCAGCCCCTCCCCGCCACACTGAGCTGCGCCTAAACATCCACGAAATGGGGCTCTGGCATTTAGGACCCTCGGCGGCAGCCTCACCTCTCTGATTGACGGGGTCTTTGGCAACATAGGCAACATACTCGGCTGTGTCCTGTGGGCGAGAGACCAGCAGTGAGATGAGAGAGGGGTGCCCGAGACTTCGGGGAGAGGGCAGGAGAGGCACTGATCCCTAGCACGGGGTAGGGCACGCACGGATGGGGACCCCGTGTACTCACCGGGTCTCCCCCAGAAGCGAAGGAGATGGACTGCATGTGGTGGTTGGCAATGATCTGCAAGGCAGAGAGTTTGTTGGATGCCACGAGCTCCTCGGCACCCAGCCAAAGGCAGCACCTCCTGCTTGCCACGCTCCTCCCGGGGCTGGCCCGGCACGGGGGCTTACAAGCCTCCGGAGCCCTGGTTATGAGCCACATGCCACCAGGAAAAGGGCTGGGACACCAACAGGGCCACCGAGAGTGGGGTCAAAATCAGGAGACCCAGCCCCAGCGCAGAGGACTTGGGTCTCGCAGTCTCCAGGACAGATCCTGCAAAGCATGTGGGGTATCACCCCGACCTCTTCACCCCCGG